GCCGCACTTTGTAGAAGTGTTCAGATTGCCGGATGGGGTATATCGCATCAATCAGGTGCGTGGTCGAGTCAATCGCCATATCCCAAACCCGCACCGCCTGTGCTATGGCCTCTGGAGCATCCCATCTTCGATCGCCCTCGGCTAAACGAGAATTCTCTAGGTCTATAGCGAGTTCGCGACCTCGTGCCAAGAGGTATCTCAACGCCGTCTCGAAATAGAGCTCTAAAGCTTCGGACTTCTGCCGCAAGGACGGGCCTTGGTCGACAGACAGCGGAGATAGCTTTGGATGTCTTGCGTCTTCCGCCAGCGCAATGGGTAGTCGTGGTTGCTCCTGAGAGTTGTGAAGGGTAACATTATTACGAAGAAAGCTCTGAGGCAGTTCGACGGGTGGCAGAGCAGAGACCTGTCTCCGCCGTTGATAGCGGGTTCTTATCGAGGCTGTCGCGTGCCCTCTCGAGCGTCCGCCGGATGTCTCCGTGCCAGGTTGGTTCTCGATCTCATCATTGTGATCTGTCGTGTCTTCGGCAGGCTTGGCGCCGTTTCCTCCGCTCCGATTGTTCAAATGGATGGCAGACGTATGTATGGCGCGTGGAATGCGAGATGATAGCCTCACGGTCAATGCAACCATTGGCAGGATTCCAGCAGTCTGCATCCCCATCCGATTGAGTACGGAGTAGCTGGCGAAGGATGCCGTGCAAACCTCACCATCAAGCTGGGTATGACCGAAAAGAGAGATATCACGTCCAGCACCTAGGTACTTGGCTGTTATAGACACATTCGAAACATGGGGCGGTACCTATGGAAGGCTCATCGGAAAGGGGGCTCGATATACACAGTCTTCAGACAGAGCAAATCTTCCGGTCCAACATTTGCTCGCGGTAGCGCACAGCGTATGCGATTGATATTGTAAGATATGTGGAAACATTTCTATAGTGGGGCGGACGTCCAAGAGGTCAAGGGTGGTTGATGTGGGGGAGGCGGCACTGTGCATGGAGTACGTACCTACCTTACCTTACCTTACTCCGTACCTTACCTCTTGCCCATTAAAGTTGGTGGAGCGCGTTTCCATTAACGCGTCAAGGTCGAACAATCTCTCTATTCCAGATCATGGACGCGGACAATGTCTGACTGGAGGGAGCGTGGAGAGGTGCCGGATTCCCAAGAAGAGAGCGATGACTTCTCCAGCGATCTCGAAACACGACTACCCGTCACAGCCTCTATCGCTGAAGCCCAGGGCACAGAGGACATCTGGGCATTTCCCGGATCAGACGATGAAGAGCAAGGCAACATCCCCTCCGCCGCGGATGTCCCGCCATTCTCAACAAGACCGAGTCTGCGGGCAACTTCGGGATCCGTGACTATCTCTTTGGCTCCTGCAGAGGACAACTTCCAGAGTCAGGAGCAGCTATCCCCTCCGAAACTCCCAGAGACAATACCTTCTTCTCCTTCCGCATCTTCACCTGACGAGGTAGTCTCCCGCCACAACCAAGAGACAGCGGATGCTCCTAGCTTACCAAATGGGAACGCGATAGCCGCGAGCAGCAATGATGCCGCTAGCTTTGCCTCAGCATCTGCGGTCTCTGGCGAACAGCCAACGACAACTCGGGCCAACGTGGCTCACCACCATGCTGCCGAGTCGGACACTGCAGATGCAACGACTCGTTATGGACGAAGATTGCGACCTCGAAATCTGATACAAGAGAAGCCATACTTTTACGATCGGGTGACCTACAGCAATGCTTTTCGAAAACACGGGCTTATACCGGTAAACGTGGTCACCGAATCGGAGAGACGCCAAGATCCAGAAGCTTCGTCAGATGCCGCCTCATGGGATGGAGACTATGATCAGGATAGCCAGGACATTGATCTACCGCCAGAAACCGATAAGACAGCAACTGGCGGCTTCGCAGCACCCTTGCGAGAGCTTGATATGCCAGACGCTGACCAACCTTTTCCACGCGTACCTCAGCCACCTGCTCGAGCCATCATTTCCAGTCTACCAAGTTCCCCAACAACTGCAGCCGATGATGACCAAGATCTACCGGACTTGGATCAGCTCCTGGGACGGCCACCTACTACCAGAACGAAAAAGTCGATGTGGGGGGCTTCTCAGGTTCAAACTTCGACACAGAGGTTTCGGAGGCGAGATATTATCTACAGTGACTCACCAGAACCAAACTCTGTCGTTGGCCAAAGGCCAAAATCCGCTGGCTCATTTCAAGGTGGGTCTGACTCAGAGACTCAGCAAAGCGTCCCGAGGGAAGTCATCAATCAGCAGGCGTCTTCACCTAAAACGCCTCCAGGACCTTCAGGTTCTGATTCTGTAGTGTCCATATCCCCCCAGGAAATCGACAGGCAAGATGAGCACAGCCGACAAGAAGGTCACGAAGGGTCTGAAAGCAGGAGCGAGGCCGAGAGTGATACACACCAAGTGGTGACTCAATTCAGGCGGCGTATCCGAGGTGTACTGCCCGCTTCTTGGCTTCGACTTGATCAACAGACGAGTAAAAATGGCTCTGGTCGGAGTCCCAAGAGGAGGCCCCGGCATCATTCTGCTCACCAACAACAACGCGGAATCGCTCTCACCAAAACGGTGACTCACGGTGCTCTTTCTTCCACTGCGATTCCATTGAGCCTAGATGAAGACAGTCCCGTCCAGTACACAACCGACGACATGCCTGAGCCTCAGTACAGTATAACGCCGTCGCAAGATTCAGAGCGAGAGAATGAAGGGCTGAGCGACGATTCAGTCGCGGAGGAGGACTACATTAGTCCATTGGCCGTTGGTAGCAAGCGTCAGCTTCGGCTTTCTAAGGCATCAAAGGGGAACAGGAAACGAGCCAAAGTCTCCGCCGGATCCCGGAGTCGGCTTGTGCGGGCCCATTCAAAGCAGCAGGCGATCACAGGCTTTCTCCAGACTCAGACCCGCGACAGGGCCAAGTCATTGCCGGCCGACCACCTGTCTGATGGTTCTCAGCGAATTCCAGACAAGCCCCGTCAGAAAGCGGTTGGCAGGCCAAAGCGTCGCCCTCAATCCCCTGTCTTGCTAAGTATTCTCGATACAATAGAGCCAGATGCTCCTAGATTCATGCGCATTGCTGCACGCTCCGCCAGGCAAACCCTCACTCAGGGGCGTAGTAGTGTGCAGCAAAAACGTATCAAACTTGCTACCAGGCAAGACCAAGTAGATGTCTTGTCTGTTATGGAGAAGTGGAAGTCGGGCCTGATCAAACAGCGGCCTTCCGTGACGGCAGCCAGCCAGTCATATCGTAAGCGGCACCAAGTTACAAAGGCGAATCAGAAGTTTTCAAGTAAAGGACCTTCCTCCAGCGTTTTGTTCAGTACATCCAGAGGCACTTCCCGCAAACTCGTTGAGTGCCGTGGCAAGAGTGGTTCCGTCAGTTATCGGCGAAATGGCTCAGACACAGATGTCGACACGACTTTGACGTCTGCGGCGGGCGTGGGCAGCTTTCTGCCTTCGCTTGCTATAAGGGAGGCTCAGTTAGAAGTGGCTGAGGAAGCAGGGGAAGCCATGGTTTCTTTTCGCTCGAGAAAGGGGGCACTGGACCGCATTTTTAACAAGCAAAGACGAAAGAAACCTGCTCTGCATTTGGCTGAGAATAGCAACACCGACGGCCCTAGCCACAGTATTACGGAAGCCTACACCATGGGGCACACACCCTCCCGAATTTCCCAGGAGCAAGAGCGAAAACAGAGGCCGCCGAGACTTCGCAAGAGCATAAAGCCCACTCGACTTGATGTCACAGCACCTCAATATACACGTGCTGGCGATCCTCTTCCGGTGGCCTCATATGTTATCGCCGCTGACGGTCCATCAGAGAAGAGCAAGCTCTATGGCCTGGGCCCCTATGGTACACGATATACTCATCATTTCGAGGTATTTCCGCTTGCTCTTGGAGTCCAGTTCCATCCCTCGACGCTGCTTGGCAGTGGCGTCTTCAAAGCTGTTGTCGAAGATTCACATGTTGGAAAGGCCAAGCTGGACTCACGATTCTCCATCAAGTTGGATGACCATGTTTTCAATCTAGATTCCTGGACTCCTCATGTGTCTTCTGAAATCGGGCTTTTCTTTGATACACTGGCTGGCTCTGTTCTTGACATAATACTGGCTGGGCGACTGGAAAAGAGCCAAGAGGAGAAGGTCATCCGCGGCACCATCAGTGCCACTCATTCCGTCTTTGAATACATGCAAAAGGTCCTCGATACACCAGAAACGGAGTCACTAACACCCCCTCTCATACCGCGGCTACAAGAGGTTTTGGGCAGCGTCATTCATCGACTCGACAAGGGTCTCGCGCAGTTGTCGTTCTTTCATGCCTCTCATCGTCAACTTATACTCAATCTCTTGGATAGAGTGTTGCTCATGTCCTTCGCAATGACTCGATACTGTCAACGCACGCCGCAACTCCTGGATGAGCATTCTGGATCACAACGTTTCATGTTATTACCGGCAGGGTTGATGATTTCGGTCCTTCTACGCTGCGGCCTTGATCCAATTCAGCAGGTTTACAGAGACGTCGGTCGTCCAAATCGTCGTGACCGCACCTTGGAGAAAGGTGCTGTTGAAGTACACTCTTGGACCTTGCTAATTAAGTTGTTCAGACATGCAAGTTCACGACAACTGTCTTTCTGGAGCGCATTAGAGACAGCCATACTCACGCCCGAGGTTCTCTCTGGCACAGACGCTCTCGAATTTGAACGCATCTGGGAGACTATGTTCACCCTGCTGCCGCTTTTTGAGTTTGATGACTCTGGGAGAATAGCTACCAAGGTACCGCACAAAGCAGAAAATGAAGGCTGGGCAATACCTCAGAAGCTACTCCGTCGTGTTTTCCAACTCTACCAAGATAACGAGCAGCAGACCGCGAGCTTCAATAACTATTGTCGGGCTCTCATCTCGCGATGCCACTACTTGGTTCGCCAATGGGGTTGGCTTCGTAGCGCGTCCGTTGTTGGTGTTATCTTTGACTTCTTCGGGTCCCGGAGCTTGGCACATCTCCGAAACGAAGAAGTCTACCAGTCACCGCGATTCCTAGAGGAACTAGCCGAAGAGCCAGTTCTCGAGGTTGAAGCAGATGACTTCTGCTTTCACATATTTCTCAAGCTCCTTGCCCTAAGCATCAAGAACCTCAGGCACTTTGGCTCCCAGAAAGACATTCGCAATCTAGTAGCCCGAACCATACCGAACCATAATCGCTCCTACCTCAAGGAACATACCGTTCATGAGCGAGATTTGGCTGCTTTGAGAAACCATCATGATCTCATCGGTACGCTGTTCTGGGCGGCACCACCTGCAATCCGACCTTCGGTAGCCATCATCGAGAAATTGGTCGCTGCCGCTAGCTCTCACAAGGAGGCATGCCTGATCAATATCAGAGCATGGGCTCAACTTGCGCGGTTCGTCGTCTCATCTGGTGAGGCGAAATCATCTTTCAAACCCTTTGAGGAATGGAGGGATGCCGTCTTTCAGCAAATGCTTGTGCAGTTTGGCAATATCGCGGCAGATGTCCACCTGCAACAGGTAAATCTTTCCGAAGATAAGAGTAAGTTTATCACGCAGAGTGTTGTCGATGCCACAATCAAGAAGAATAAGGCAGCGGTGATGGACGTTATACGTCTATCGCTCACAGCCTCGTTAGATGTTATCAGATGTGCTCCAGACTTAGAGGCAGCAACACACTGTTTGAGCACCCGTCACCTGAAGCAGGTCTTCGAATACTTCAAAGTGTCGCCCTTCGAACTGGATTGGTCGATACTGCGCACAGCGCTGACCATCTTGGACACCTTTGTGTCGCGAATCGAGGACTTCAAGGCGAGCCACTCCAACCAGCAGAGTGAAAGCCAGCTCTTAGAATCGGCGCAAGCGGACGAGGCTTTCTGCGCCCTGGGGCAAGAGATATCTCACAGTTATTTCTCAATGGCCCGATGCATCTTGTCATTACCGACGGAGGGGTCTGGCTTTCGAGGATCGCCTACGGCTGACAAGGCTTGGTGTGTTAGACAGGTCACCACATTATCCGCGAGGATGGGCATTGGCTTCATTAATGGTAGCCTAATGATCAACGGTGACCTGTTCAAGCTGTCGGATATGTTCAAGAGCGGCAATTACTGCTTGTTTAGTGGCCAATTACAATCTATGGATCCTTCACACAGACAACATCTTATCCTGTTCATATCGACGCTGCTGAGGTACGAATTTGACGATTTCTCCGACGTTGATTTCAACATCTGTGAGGTGTGGATTCTGGCATTGGTCACGCCCATCGAATACTTGAGGTATGAAGACCTCATCGATATACAGCGGCATTGCTATACCAACGGGTACATCCCTGACCGCATGGTCGAGTTACCAACTCAGCCAAGCTACAAAACAAACCATCTCTTGTTCGAGTTTGCGCTTTCGTCAATGCGCAAAAAGCTTCGTCGCGCTGGCCCTCAGGCTCGCCGAGTTCTTTCCATTGAATACTCGAGGACCCTCAGGCTCGCGATGGGACAGATGCGAAACGACCTGAGTGTGACGTATGAGAATACTTTGCAGCATCGGCAGTACGTCGAGTTCGTTCAAGGCGTTATATCATCGATCAAGGCACACGGATCCGACATATGCAATATAGACGGCTTCTTCCTTCAGAGCAGCAGAGAATATTATCACCCGCCCATTCAAGATCCCCAGCTTCAGATTGCAGGTATGCTTTCGTATGGCATTCGCATAGAAGAGGGTGATCCTAGGGCAGCTCACGAATTGTTTTACCTCCTGTTCAATAACTTCAAACATGCCCTGAGGAAGGGAAACCTAGCACATGATGTTCGTATGCTTCGAGAAGCCATGAAGCATAAGAGCATACTGGCCTTTGTTCTGGGAAAGATGCTACCGGCCATTCTCGGGGTGTCTTTCCTGGATAGTTCCTCTTTTGCCCTTCTGGATGTGTATACGGAAGCCTTACATCGGCTACTCAGGGGGCCAATATTACCTCGGCAGCTTGGCAGCGACGATCTTCCATATGTTATTGTCACCATACGGGCCATCGTGGAGGGGATGAGAATCATGCGCCGCCGCCGTGAGATCCTAACTACTTCTCAGCTTCACATTTTGAGACAGGCACTAGTCATCTCAAACTCTCTATGGCCATCGCTGCTGGTTGTGACTGCTGAACGGCCTGGAGACCCGTGCCTCAGGGACATAGCCAGCGTAATGCGCCAAATCGCTTCCTTCGCAACAGTCGCTCAAGGATATCTCCACGATCTGACTGAGATGGAAAGCGACGACTTGCCAGAGGCTGACTTGCTGTTTCAAGGCCTTGGAGTTGATCAGCCTCTGGTTTTTGACGAGCATGTCAAAAGTTTCACAGTTAACATGAAAGATGACATTGCCAAGACGTGGATCTTAGGCCCCGAGAGGATCTCTATACAAATGCCCACCAAGGCAAACGGACTCGCTCAGGAAGACGGCCATGGCGTGCAACTTCCCAATTGGGCAGTGAAGGATATAGTGCGTGATATATATGATCAGATCCAGCACTGGTATTGGCAATGGGTTGCATTTTAGTAAGGCTAGACTAGGTTCTTCTAGAGTAGTGTTTAGGGGGGTAAAATAATACTACTTAAGAGATAATATATTAAACTATTTAAGGAGACTTATTAAAGAGAGCTATAAAGCTTATTTATAATATTACTATATATAAAAAGGGACTATATAATAAACCTTTATTATTTAAGTTTAAAGCCTTTATAATACTTATAAAGTACTTAAGCTAAAATTTCTAAAGCTTTATATTTTACTTTTTATATATATTATAAAAAGATCTTAAATTTTTATTATATTCTTAATATTAAGATAAGATATTAAGGTTAGTTAATTAAGTTAAGGTTAGGGCTAGGAATTAAAGTTAATAAATTATATATAATACTTATATATTAAGTAAGTAGCTTAAGTTAACTTAGTATATTTTATTATAAGCTTTTATAATAAGCTTTATATAAATTAAATACTTATTATATAAAGTATAAAGGTTTATTATATTATTTTTATAAAAAACCTTTAGTTAATTTAAGATATAATAAACTTTAATTATAATTAACTTAAACTTAAATTATAATAATTATTTACTTAAATTAATAAAAATACTTAAACTAGTTATTTTTTTATTAAAAAGTAAATAATAATAATAATAATAATAATAATAATAATAATAATAATAATAATAATAATAATAATAATAATAATAATAATAATAATAATAATAATAATAA